CCTTGTATAGACTATATATCTGCCCAAAACCATGGTGCCTTCTGCAAAATATCTTGTAAGTCAGGTACTGGTTATATAATTGTCCATGAAGTATTGCCAAGGTCATGCCCTGTCTTAGGAGACTCCACCACCTGTGTCCTGTGCTCTGGCCAAGCCCCAGCCTCCGTTGGTCAGAGGGGAGAACCACCAGGTGTTATCCGCACAAACGATAAGAAACTGCAAGTTAGTTTTTGCTTGCTAATTTGGCCTATGAGAGCTGGACCCTCTTGCAGTGACTTTGGATGCCTCAACTATGAGTGGACACACTGCGTAGGACTTCCCAATTGCTGGGAAAGGCTCTCCAAACCCTCGCCACAATCTGGGGCTCCCCAGTGACTGCGGGTCTGGATGATGATAAAGCATTAGGGCAATTGGTCATGTATCTTTCTTAATCATTATTCTTTCCTGTATGTAGAAATGATTAGGTGCATTACCTTTCTTATTGTCTTTGTTGTTTGTGCTGTTTGTATTAGAGCTTTCTTAACTAACCTTATATGTAAATATATTATTCATTTTTCTATTATCTTAAAACACCATTAGTAAAATAAAATCCTATTCTTCTCATTGGTGGCTGGGTTGTTGCCCTCATCAATTGGCAGAACAGCTTCCCAGTGTAAGAAAATTATAATTCCACAGCAGTCCAGATACCTTCAATTTTAAAAAGTCAGGATTTAGAAAGGACTGACAAGATGGCTCAGAAAAGCTCACAACGATGAGAAAGAATGAAATACATCCTTTTGCTTTATGGGGAAGGTTAAAGTTTGCTAGGTAAGCAGCAGTAAAGAAACATGAGCACTGTTGCCGTGTACTTCACTAGAGACAATTTATAAACTCAAGATTTACAACATAAAGAAAAAAATAATATTGCTTAGGCACAGAAACTGATAGAACTAAATCAATCCGGGTCAACAAATGGCATCATGCTGATCACATTCCCAGCTTCTGTCTCAATTGCATCATAAACCCATTCTCTATTGCAGCGACATTGTGGTCCACACTTATTTGAATTGCATTTGGGGCAAGGATAGAAGCAACCCAGGCAATCCACATCCAGGCAGTCACACAAATCGATGTTATTACAAAGCAGCCTGCCATGTTGGTCATACTTCTTTGTAGAGCTGTGAAAGAGAACAAAAAGTGATTCTCAGAGAATGCTTCAAGGCATTCAGAGACTAAGCCAAACAAATGTGGAGAATGTCTGTACTTAACAAGTATTTACTCTTTAACAATCTCACAGCATAATGTCCTAATTGCCACAGCCATTGGTATTTAAAAATGAAAGTGTGGCAAAGAAGTACATCAAAGTTCTCTTAAGTCACATAGAAAAATCTTGTTTTCCCAACACAGCTTTCATGTCTAGTAAGAAATCTCTCCACAAAATATTAATGCTTTTATTCAGCATACCAGCCAGTTTTTAAAGGAAAATGTATAACAAAGTATCAGTCTTACTTGGACTTATAAGAAAGGGCTTTTTTCATTTGTGACATGCATGCTTTCTTCTGCTGCTGTCTGATTTCAGGATTGAAGTCTGCAAACTGAGGTCCTGGATTTTCAAAGGCTAAGCACTTTAACAGTTTCTCGAGTTTTTGCTATAAATAAACAGATAGTTTATAATTACTACAATTGGAAAGTATGTTTATTAGCTGCCAAGTGTCCTCATTGACTTTCAAATGAAATTAAAATTAATATTCTTGGTAACTTAACACAGGTAGGAAAATGAAGCAATTAGGATCACATTGTTTAAAATGTTTGCTTGTCTAACAGTTGAGTATTCCTTTTACCGACTCTGTGTCCTGACAGGAGGTAGAACAACTGTGACTCTGAATACATGACTCTAGTACAGTGGCATGGAGTTTGCAAGTTGTCTTGTGAGAGGTAGAATTATGTATTTTGTTCTTCAGTTTTATCTGTAATGTAAAAAAAAGTACTATTATTATAAGCATTAGTGTTCCATGTGGGAGCCAGTGATATAGCTAAGAGAGGCCTAAAAAGCACTAAAAAAGACTACAGAACCCTGGGAGAAATGGTTAAGGGCTATGACATACATCATTCTGTCAGGTCCAGGGTGAGGGGTTGAGGAGCCACATGCCTCATGGAAAAGGAAGACTAGAGACAATGTGGGCCCTCTCCAGAAGGAAACAGGAGACATGGCAATGACTTCTTTTCCTCAGTCTTCAACTCCAAGTGCTCCAGCCACACTGACCAGGCCAAGAAAAGCAAAGGTGAAGACAGGGAGAATGAGACCCCTGAGCACACTGTAGAAGAGGATCAGATTCAAGACCACTTAAGGAACCTGAATATGCATACATCTATGGGTCCTGATGAAATTTTATCCTCGAGTCCTGAGGGAAGTGGCTGATGAAGCTGCTAAGCTACTCTCTGTAGTTTTTGAGAAATCATGGCAGTCAGGTCCCGGGAAATATAACCCGTATTTTTAAAAAGGGGAAAACGGAAGAATCAGAAAACTATAGACCCATCATTTTCACCTCTGTGCCTGGCAAGATCATGGAGCAGATTCTCCTGGAAGCTGTGCTTAGGCACATGAAAAGTGAAGAGGTGATTGATAATAACCAATATGACTTTG